CACGTGCGTTCTATGGGAATGATGTTAAATTTACCGAATCAAGTATTTGGACTTTCTTGCAAATTTAGAATCCATAATCTTAGCAGAAAATTACACTGACAATGAGCGGTTCACAATCCACAATAGCATTGTACTTGCCCCAAAAAAACCGAAATTCTTTTTTTTGTATTATCACATAAGCAAAAGAATGCAGTAAAATCCCTAAAAAATGACAAACGAATCGTCATTCTTGCTGTAGATAAAGGACGCTCAACCACCCTTTTGAACACATCAGATAATGACGCAAATATGTTATCATCTCTCGAAGACAAATCAACATCCAAACTTCTTTGTGCAGAATACAGAATACAGAATACAAAATACAGAATGCAACAAATGAAAAGGTACTTAGACGTCTTAAAGGAAAGAGACAAATATCAGGAGATATTTTCAAGCCTCAGAGACAGACCGAACCAAACATAGCTAAGATCTACGGACTGCCTAAAATACGCAAACCCGAAGTACCACTACGACTGATGGTATCATTAATCGGTGCAACTAATTACAAAATCTTCATGTAGCTATTTCGTAAACTCCACCATTAACTAAACAATTGTGAAACATCAACTAATTATTGCATGGAGATTCTGGAAAAATTACGGGGACTTAAAATAAAAGCAGACGAAATTACGATATAATTGGATTTTACCCTTTCCTTTACATAGATACCATTGGATTTAGCGAAACAATACACATAAGCAGTACTTAATTTTAGTTCGCCCAACAATACTACAAACATATAAAAGGAGCTCCGACGGGCATGTTGGCTGTAATCACGATGCAAAAATTTAAAACTATGGCCCTACCACTATTGAGCACCAAGTTGTGGGTACGCTTTGTCATTATTACGTGTTTTTCTTGTTAAAAGGGACCAACTGGAAACACTTAACAACATCATTAGTTCAGCGATGTCAGGAATCATATTTACCGTCAAATAGGAACTTTGCAGCAAACTCGCAGTTTTGACGGCCTCGTACAGCGGAATACTGATGGATCGTTTCAAACATCGGTTTACCGTAAAAAAGGCCTATGCAGATGTTGTCATTTATTACAAGAACAACCTCCCTATTGGTCGTAAGTGGAGTATTGTTAAGACACTAATAAATTGAGCAAGAACACAACATTTTAGCACCACAATTTACCGGAACGAACTCAAGTACCTTTACAAACTATTCTCAAAAATGGTTACCTTAGGGAGGTTGTACACAGGTGGATCAGACGACAAAAGTTAAAGCAAAAAGGAAAGGAACCTGATTGTCCCGATCAAGCGCCTAATCCAAGAAGTCGGCGATCTCTTCCATATATTAAGAGCGTGTCTAAATCGTTTAAAGACACCTGAAGAATTACCAAATCCTGGTGTCGCACAAACCTACGGCCACAGTACATAAACACCTTGTACACCTTGCCTGTAAAAGGGTTCGTTTACAAAATTCCTTGCGGTGACTGCGATGCAATTTATTGTGGACAAACTGGAAAGTCCGCCTCTACACGCTTATTTGAGCATCAAGTAGCGGGAAAAAGGCGCGACTATCTGTTCAAAGTCGCCATGCATTCGCTGAAAACTGGGCACAAGTTTGCATGGGAGCAGGCCCACATAGTATGTTCCTGCCCATATAAGAATGGTCGTGAATTTTTAGAGTCCACTAGCTCTAACGAATCATTCATTGATAGGCACCTTTAATCAGATTCTATGTAAATCAATCTCAAAGAAACCTGAAAAGGCGTCCAGAGGTGCAGCACCTTATTGACCAAGGAAAACAAAAAAGTATTGATTTTTTGGGTATGTTTAAAAATGCGACCTGTTCTATACTTATTTTCTGCCTGTCTGACGACGAATTTGTGTCCAAGAGTCGGAAACGTACAAAATTAAGTTTTTTTTCTCGTTTCCCAAAGAATTAGTTCTACCAAATTATATTTCTTGGGATGAAAATTGTCAAATTTGTTCGAAAAAATACCTATAGACCTCTTGACTTTATTGGCACCTCACATCACGGGGCGTAGATCAGAAAATTTTAATAAACAGAGCATATGCACAGAGAACGAGCATGATGAACTAAAACTGGTACGGCTGGGACGTATTTCAAAAGAGCAACGCGGGCGATGACCTGGATTTATGGTAGGCAGCTAGGTAAGGGTACATAACTTCGAATGTATGTGCTTCAAAAGAAAAATAGTTTGCTAACATATAATTCACCTTCTTTCCTCGCAAATTATGTGTTGCTTCTATTATATTTCCAGCAGACGTTCATTCATATGCAAATTAGATGTCCTTACTCATGAAAATTATGTCGAATATGTTTATGAATAGAAAATATGAACCTAAATAGGGTTCTTATATTCATGACCATGCAGAGTTATAAACACACGTTGTATTCCTGTCAAGATGCAGGCTTTTGAACGATTTTCGCTTGAGCCGTTTGTAAAAATGCCATTCATTTAGATGGCAACATATTTGGTGTGCCTTTCAACCCATGATTGCGAAAGTCTCATGAATTAAAATACTGCTTATATTAAGTGTACACAATCATATTTATAATAGTAATGGTAATCACTTCCGGAAGGTTAAAAAGAAAACAGGAGTAAGACGGAGAGGCGCGTTTATGGATTAACATATAATTAAAATCACGGTGTAGAAAACATCGTGTTTCCTTCAACTGGCGGACTTTTGAATTTGAAATGCCAATTGTATTTACTCTATGCAAGTGAGAATGTTGTCGTTCCATACTTCTCTTTTTGTTTATGAACCATGACAATGAGGTTATCTGTACAGTATACTACCAGCTTTGTCAATGAACTTAAATTGAAATTTTGTTATCAATTTATTTGGTCACCCACCTTATATTCCCCTAGCCCCTGGTTGTGTGGTTACTTATTTAGTTTAGTTTAATTTATTTTTCTGTTTTTTTAACTACCGCCAACCTTACTTCAATAACTACGCCTGAAAGTGTTTCCACGTACGCATGCGGACGTGTCTCCAAAACAATCAAAAACATCCGATTTTATGAAGCTCAAAGAGAAGTAGCGTCCTCGTTAACATTTGTTGACACTCTAGCTAAATTCCACAGGAACGCCATTGTCTGGAATTAGACCACGTAGGATATTCTGCTGTGTCTTATTATTATTCAAAGTAGTTTGATGTTGAGTGGCGCACCATGTCAGATGCAGACGCGTTTAAGTCTCCAGCATCCCGGGCGTTCTGCCTACGTGTGAGGCAAATAGTAAAGGCATGCGGTGACAGTCATTGTCTCGACAAAGTATGACCTTGCCAAGCAAAGGGTTGACACCAATCTACCCACGGTCCTGGCAGATACGCTGATTATATAAACCAGAGGCTGACATCGTAGAGCGGTGTACCCTCACCTGATCTGGGTGAGTCCAATGATCTCAGAATAAAGGGTCCATTATTTTAACATGAGTGTTTGCAGGCAGGAGAACAGTGCAATTGGTTCTCATTTGCCATTATAATGAGCGAAACCTGCATACAGTGTTTTTTTTGTTAATTTCTTATAGGTGAAAATCACCAAGATGTTCGCATTCAAACTTCTGTTGGTTATGGACATTTTGGAGCAAGGCAAGGCTTATAGGCCATTTTTTCAACTACAGTAATCCATTGCATTTAATCAATGTTAAACCACAATTCTCAATTTCATTAAATCAGGTTGAAAAGATCCTTGTTTCAATTATACATTTGTCCTTCTTTACCGGTAATACAATGGAAGCAACACATATTGCTATGGCTAAAGGCCCGAGAGAAGATAACAACGGAGTTGAAGGTGATAAGGGCACTGAGTGGTGACATTAATGGTAGAACGCAATGGTAAAACGCCACCAGGACCCGTTAACAATGGCAACGACACCGAAAACCAAGGTGGGTGGGGAAGTTGCGGTTCAACCAATGGTAAAACGCCAGCAGATCCTGTTGAGAATGGCAACAACAACCAATGTGGGCAGCGAAGTAGCGTTTCAACCAAAGTTACACGCCACCGGATCCTGTTGAGAATGGCAGCGACACCGACAACCAAGGTGGGAAGGGAAGTGGTAATTCAACCAATGGTAAAACGCCACCAGGTCCTGGTGACCATGCCAACCACAACCAATGTGGGCAACGAACTGGCGTTTCAACGAATGGTAAAACGCCACCAGGTCCCCCTGAGAATGAAAACGACACCGACAACCAAGGTGGGCGGTGAAGTGGCAATTCAACCAATGGTACAACACCACCAGGTCCTGGTGACCATGCCAACAGCAACCAATATGGGCAACGAAATGGCGTTTCAACCAATGGTAGAACGCCACCAGGTGCCGTTGACAATGAAAACGACACCGACAACAAAGGTGGGCGGGAAAGATGCGGTTCAACCAATGGTTAAACGCCACCAGTTCCCGTTGAGCATGGTAACGACACCGACAACCAAGGTGGGAAGGGAATTGGCGGCTCAACGAATTGTATAACGCCACCAGGTCCAGGTGACAATGCCAACAGCAACCAATGTGGGCGACGAAGTAGCGTTTCAACGAATGGCAAAACGCCTCCAGGTCGCGGTGAGAATGAAAACGTCACCGACAATCGAGGTGTGCGGTGAAGTGGCAATTCAACCAATGGTACAATGCCACTAGGTTCAGGTGACAATGCCAACGACGACCAAGGTGGGCAATGCAGTGGCGGTTCAGCCAATGGTAAAATGGCAGAAGGTGCTGGTGACAACAACAACGACAAACAGTGTGAGCAGGGAAGTGGTGGTTCCACCAATGGTACGACACCTGCAGGTTCCGGTGGGCTTGCCATCGACGCCGACAACCAAGGTTTACAAAGAAATGGCCGGTCCGCCAATGGCAAATCGCCGGTAGGTTCCGACGGCAGCGTGACAATGGCACCCACAACCAAGGTGGGCAAGGGAGTGGTGTTTCAACCAATGGCACAACGCCACCAGGGTCGTGTGACAATTGCAACGACACCGACAACGAAGATTGGCAGGAAAGTGGCGGCTACAACAATGGCACAATCTCAGCAAGTTCCATTGTCTACGGAAATGACATGGACAACCAAAAGGGGTGAGGAATTGCGGCTCCGCAAAGACTACGACTCTTGCAGGTGCCGGCGTCAATGGCAATCAATATACGCAAAAGCCCGATGGTGACAACGAGAAAGAAAGTGATCATAATTATGCTGATACTCAT